TATATCTATAGCGAATATACTTATCGATTATATAAGAGAATAGTTATATAACTACTATAGCTAGTAGGCGTCTATAGAGGAAGATAAAGCTATTCCTATCCTAATCGATTATATCTCGCTCGAGGTTAATATCGGACTAAAGCTCGGTATAGATCTCTTTAATAGTTAGCTTATATAGCGCTTTATACTTAATTATAATTAATAGCCGGACGCTTCCGTCTTCTTACTAGAGTACGTAGAATTAATCTACTCGTATATTTCTCTATAGCTAATTACTTTTATACTAAATCGCTAGTTCCTCTATCGTATCGCTTAATATAGCTATTTCTGCTCCTCGGAATCTCTCCTAATTCTCGAACGATATCTAGCTATACTCTAGTAGGCTAGGAGCTAATTAATAGTTCCGTACGAGCGCCTCGTACGTATCTTTAACTATCTTTTCTACTATAAGCTATTATAAGAATCGTAAATCGTCTTCGGACTCGATCGGATTAATATATCTCTTAATAGACTTATATGCCTCTATAGATAGGTAGAGCGGCTCTTACTATAGCTCCGTAATACCGCTTAGAATAGCCTAGGTATACTACTATCGTTCGCCGAAGTCTTCCTAGAGAGCGATTATCTAGAGGAAGAGCCTTAAGGTTAGATCGGTAGTAGAGCCGTAAGTAACCGAGGAGGGGTCTACGACTAGGCGAATCTTTCTATAGAGAGTATAGTAGCTTTCGAGAAAGTCTATAAGCGTCTAATTAACGGCTATTACGGCTACTTATTCTATATATTCTCGCCGCTACTACTCTTCCTCTTATTACTACTATTCTTTCTATTATCCGCGCTCTATAACTTCTTACTTACGCTATACTTCCTCTCTTTAATACTACTCTTTCTCTCTTCGATACTCTATAAGTTCCTAGCTCTACTATACTTCTATAAGCTTCGCCTATAGCCTCGTAATCTCGTCGGCTATTATTCGTATAAAGTTAGCTTAATAGGAAGCGAGCTAAGTAAACAAATATATAAGCTAACTTTCGGCCGTAGCCGTTAGGACCTTACTAGTTAATCGCCGGAGCTAAGTTCTCGTAACTAAGGCTCGATAATTTCGCTAGCTAATACTAGGAGTAGTTAGGAATAATATACTATTATATATTACCGAAATTAGATCCCGTATTAGACTTAATTTAAATCGCGTACCTACTTAGAGCTATAGCTTATAGCGTAGCGACTAGCGCCGAGTTGCTACCTAAGGCAAATACCTAGACTCTTATATAATAGAAGGTATACTTAGTACTACGATTACTATAGTAACGACCTACCTTATAGCGAATTAATATCTACGACTATACCTACTTCTATAGCTACTTATACTCCTCTTAGTAAATATATATTCGTAAGAGCGTCCTCGGCAAAGAGTCTAGGATTACGTAATAGTCTTATTATAATTATAGTCTACTTATACTACTAAGCTATATTAGTCCTATCTACTTATATACGCTACGCTACTCTATTCTATATATACTTAATCTTTGCTACCTATAGTTAAAGCTTCTTCTAGCGCTTATATACCTTATCTATCTACGAAAATGCTCGTTCTATAGCGTTGCCTCTATAAGCTATAGTCTAAAAACATTTAACTCCTATCGGGAATAACTCTCTAAGACGTAGAGTTATTCCTTAGTAAGAGACTTTTCCTTCTAGTAGATTCCTATAGTAATATTATCTCGAATAATCGTTATATATATTATTATATTATTAATTAGAAGAGCTCGGGTAATCTCTATAGTCTCTAGAGACCTACTTATAGCTAGCTACTTTATTTAGTAGTACTTCTATAGATCGAGCAAAGCTATTATAGTCTATATTTAGTTAGTAGGTTATATAAGGTACTAGATAAGTATTATAAGATATATAGACTATCGGTCTACCTCTACGAGAGATGTCTTACGCGGCTCGTATAACGAATCTATAAAGGCTATTAATACTAAGTAAAGTACTAGCGACTAGTAGTACGTCTAGGCGTTACCGTAGGTCCTATTCTATCTCCGAGGCGATATTATACTCTACGTTAGCAAAGGTGTCTTCTTAGTAAAGCGTAATACGTAGGCGTATAATACTATAGCTATAGTAGTATAGACTACGAACTTTATACTCGTCTTATTTCTAGCTATAGTCGAGGTATAGTCTCTAAAGCTCCGATATAACTATTAGATAGTAATAAGATAGACAGATAGTATATACTACTTCCTTAAGCGAGCTATAGAGGCCTATAACCTTCCTATTAGCCGGCTCTACTTCTACTTCGAGGCTATTAATATTCTAAGTATAGAGCCGAAGTAGTCGTACTCTTTCGAAAGGACTAGCGTATCTATTCTACTAGGTACTAATTATATATATCTATACTATACTCGGGGCCTTGCTCGTATATATTCGTACTACTACGTCGGTGTTATACTTTTCGATTTATTACTCGACTAGAAGGAGGAAGGTCTCGATATTTAGCGCAGCCGCCGATATCGCCTAGTACGCGCTATATATCGTTCTAGTAGCTCTAGCCTAAAGCGTTTAGAGTATCTATAGCGTCTTTTTCGTATACCTATAGCCGCTAGTCCGGCCCTACGACTAGACTAAGTACGCGTATATTATTTATAGGATAGCTACTCCTTAGTAAAGTTTCTATATCTTAAGTATCTTAACTCTCTAGGTAGAGCTCCTAAGCGAGTAGAGAGCGCTAATAGTATTAGAGACTTTCTACTATATCGCTCTAATATATAGCTTCTAGTATAGCTTAGTATCTATAGTAACGCCGAGATACTTATATATTACCTTCGGTTATTAGAAGTATAGTAGAAGTAGAAGAGGTTTTTCGCCGAGTAGTATATCGTATCTATAAAGGAGTTATTCTATAGTTCTTATATAGTAAGGATATCGAAGTCGCCTATCTTAGAATCGCGTAGTAGTATAGCTACGACTATATCCTATAACTTCTAGACGTTATACTATAATATACTAAATATAGAGTTCCTTTTATAAGTCGCTCTCTATATCGATATCTATTTACTAGCTACTATTACGTTCTATCCTATTAATATATAGAGACTCTAGCGCTTTACTAGTAGGATAGTATATTCGCTATAGCCTCTAACTACTAGGTCTAGTCGGAGGCTTATTCTTCTTATCTAACGAGCTAAGGCTACTACTAGTATTAGCTCGTTTCTATCTAGATCCTATAGATCCGAGCTCTCTCTTCTCGGAGGCCGAGCTCTCGTACCGAACGCTTCCGGCGTAGTACTATTCCGTTACTACTAGGTAGAGTTCTAGATATCGTAGATACTAGGACTAGGTAGAATAGCGCTCTTATAGTATATACTACCTTAGCGTAGGCTATTTCTTCTTATCGTATCGGGTACTATTAGCTCTATACCTCGTACTCTCTATAGTATACTACGTACTTCCTAGGTCTGTCGCGCTCCCTTTTCGATAGATAGTCTTAGGATTAGTACTCCTAAGTATAGTAGCTATATCTTATTATTATCTTATACTAGGTTCCTATATAGCCGTATTTCTAACATTTAAAGCACTACTTAACCCGATACTATCGATCGCACCTCTCGCACTAGCAAAGCTCGCCGTGCTATACGAGGCCCTCGCTAATAATTTTGTTAGCATCTTTAGGTCGCGCGAACTCGATAATAATAGAGGTCGTCGACTTCTTCGCACCGCTCCGCGTAAGCCATCCTATATATTTAATTTCCGCTCGAGGGATAAATAGCCGGTCCTCGTGCAGGATCTCATCTCGATTCTCCGTAAATTTGTCGATGTCAATAGAGTGCATGCGGATGCTGTGAACAATAACGCCGTATGTCGGGACGCGAACAGAGGCCCCCTCCCCGACGCGACGATCCTAGATCGGGAATGCTACAGACTAGGGATTGCTGGTCACTCTGGATACAAGATTGCAAAGCTGGGACATCGAGATGCTGGCGAGGCCTAGCCCTTAGATACTGCTATCATGAGGCACATCGGACCGGACCAAATCGCATATCAATGGTAAATACGCTACATGGGGGTCTGGTCCGGGTACGGGCAGAGCTCTATCTTTTTTCTGTTTGCCAGACAAAGCAGCCATGGATGCAGACTGCGCCAGCTCAGCGCCGGTCGCGTCCGCCTCACCTTTGCCTCGGAGAGATTGATGAGATCACGGACTCCAGCCTTTGGGCGTAAGCAGGTTCGGACGGAACGAGGGTCGCGGATGAGCAGGGTCAACATATTGGCCGAGCGAAGTCAACGGTAAAGCAGGGCTCCCTTGAATAAGATTTGGCTTGCCAAAATTATGCATGATCCAGGCCCAACGCCGGATGTCGAGGTGGTCATAAATCTCGTAATCTCGCGCCATCTGCCAATTTTTTCGCCCTCCAGAAGTCGTGTAACTCTCACAAAGATGCATTCCAAAGCCTACAAACATTTACTGGTGTTCCTAGTGCTAGGTATTGCCTCTGCCACAAGCTTCTGCAAGTATCCGGACAAGCCGACTCTCCATCAGGTATGTTTGGAATGCATGTCTACGTAGCCGCTTATAGCTAATTGATAAACATATCAGTGGGGCCAAACGAACTGCGAAAAATGGAAGAAGGGGTTGTCTAGAGAGTATTGTGCAGATACTGTTGGTCAGGCTACAGTAGGTCAATACTATGTTACTAGTAGATCACCGGCTAACATAGTCTAGTGCCCAGGAACTAATAGATACATCTGCTCGGGCCGGACATATACATATGAAGATCCATCTACTGGGTACGCTTCCCTAGCTGCAAACATATCATGTATTAACTATAGTAGGAAGAGCGAAACTGGTTTCGCACCGGCCTGCTACTTTTTTAAAAAATAGCCAAATCATTTTTTAGGCAACAGCTATATGTCACTGGTTGACAAGAGAGCGACGGTCTCGCTTCTCTGTCATTAATTCATCCATTGCTCATGCCTGTGCTTCTCAAGTGCGCCTGATGCGGATGCAAGAAGTAACACTCTCGAAAGGGGCCGGTTGCCGCTATCGCTTTCGAATCACCATACTCGCGCTGTCTAGCATCCTCGATGACACAGCTAAGGATATTCCACTTACGCGTTCGACGATGCTGCCTGCATATCGTGCGGCGATCCGAAGCATTTCTCTCGGAGCAGCCCGCATGGCACACGAACACGGATATCGTAGCAATTCCATAGGTAAAGAACGAGCTGTGCACGACTCGGGTTTATCATGAAATTATCCATTCCGAACGTCTCTCCGTCCCACGGGTTTTTAGAAAACGTGCATAGCGAAGGCGAGGATGGGTGAAGGCCGACATCTCACGGAACTTCGTCACACCACACTCGAGCAGACACGAGTTCGGGTCCTGAGAAGCCAGTCTCTCCCATCGGCAACACGAAATCATGAACGTATTGCTCCTGCTTTTCCGATGGCACGACTGTCAGGAAACCAATGTCTGGCACTTTGCTCTATCATGCAATGCGAACATGATTGCATTTCTGTTCTACTTAACCAATGATCCACATACGCGAGCCACTCGCTGGGATCCCACTCCGAATGAAACAGCAGGCTAGAGGGGCCGTGGTCTGCATTCACTCGTCGCTAGGACTCGGAAGAGTTCTGCGACTGCTCCAGCCCGCGCTGGTGCTGAGATACATTCTTACTATTACAAACGTCGGATCTAACAGACTGTGCATAGCTGAGTCTAGCCTCGATAGTACGAAGCGTGTTATTCATAACATCAATCTCGCTTTTCAGCTATGCCAAGATCTTGCAATAAGTCTCCGCTTGTTTGAGCACTTTCTCTATCTTATCGTCTCTCCTGCGCAGATCTTTGTTAGTACAAAGCGGGCTTCGGTATTCGGAGATAAGCGTACGGTTGTAGTGGAACGTCTCGGTACTTGCAATCTGTCTGCTGTTCGATGCATAACCGACACGGATTGCCACCTGTGTGCAAACATGAGCAAGATCAGTACAGACGTCAGTTACGGACTGCGACATTTGCTTACTACAGCACTTTTGCCTGCGTTTCCGACATTCTTCGCACGCCTGGCTTATTAGCAAGCGAGGAAACGCTCTACAATAGGCAGTACCTACGACCCTAGTTTTGTTCTTCGTGCGCCCCAAGGATCTGTCGTTACAGAATACCAATGTCCGTGAGCTCGCATGCCGCTTCTCACTAGCTGATATGCCGAGCAGCTGGAGTGTGGGCGTCGTGCTGCTCTGTTCTCCATGTTCTTAGCTGATGTACATTATATTCGACGCAGTAGGTATATCTTTGCCGGAGCTAAAGTGGAAGCCAGACTGCCGTGCCGTCCTACCGTTCACATTGCTAGGCACTTTGTTGGTTGCGATGTCGGAGTCCATATGTGATGCAATTTTGAACTCTAACTGCCGGCGAGAGCTCAGAACGGCCAATGGCAGGGCAACGACTGAGAGTCAAGGGAGAGCTTGAACTTTAGAAGCATAACACGCCGCTGAAGTGGGCTGCGCACATTCCCCTGGAGACCGACCAACTGCTTAGACGTCAATATGCGGTACGTCCTCTCGGAAGATGCAACGTTCACCTGCACGATGAGAAGGCCAGTCCGCAGCCTCGAGCCATCTTCGGCCCCCTGCATTATGCACACCGCCGGAATGCGTGCGTGCCTCTTCGTCTCTTCGCTGTCGGAAGCTCCGATCCGACTGGACACCGCGAACATCGAGCTACATATACTCTTAACGCCGCATTTAAGAGAGCTGATTTTAAGCGCCGATCGTGCAAAGCCGTAGAATATGGAGGCATTAGTAGTTCGCAGGTTGCGGTCTTCCATAGCCGCATCTTCGGAGTCGCGTGCATAGTTTAGCTGAACTTATGCTTCGCAGAAACGCATTGCGAAAGATCAGTCGGCGGAATCGAATACTCAGCAAAAAGAAACCGCTGGTCGATTTCACCGCGAACAGGGCTGGCGACACTTCATATACTGACGTTTCCCAGATTGCAACAATTACGTGTGCACAAGATTTGCGCGTGGTGGCAATGGACCGAAGCCCGTCACCAACAACGTCCAAGGATCGCTGCAGTCAAAGGCAAATGAGACATACTCTCCACTCAGTAATGACTAGTATGGGTGTGATCGCGTTTTCCACAGGCAGAACACACACCATCCCATTTTAGCAGCAGATGCAGCAAGACAAATACCTTTGGCCACGGCCGAAAGTCCTCGACCCTTATCCTTCGCACCGCGTTGACCCTCGTCTATCTAAGTGGCCACACGTGCGACATCGCAGACCGCAGACCGCAGTCCCAATGGCAAACACTTCTGGCTCCACTTCTTGCTCCGAACTCTGAGAGCGGCCATGCGGTGCCGCCAATAGCAATATACCGTGGCTTTATCCTCATGCCTTTCCGCCACATCTGCCGTCGGCTCCGTCGCGCTTCGGGACGCAGAGCAGGATTTCTCGTCCACCGTCTTCCATCTCGCCGATGCGAAGCTTTCGCTACTTTCTACGCGTCCACAAGCCAGTAGCTCGTATCGGCGGAATCACTACTTCCATGGCTGCATGCGGTACGATCGGCATTCAATGATTTGGATGCAAGCGCAATCATCTGCAGGACCGGAGCACTCATCGTGCACTGCGGATACGGCACTAATGCAACCCCAATCGCTATCGTTTGAAGCTCACATGGCGTCGCGGCGATGCGAAAGCAAATTCTCCACGCCCACTGACATTGTTCGCCCACAACACATGGCGGAAGAAATGCAGCTGGATGGTTGTGCAACCAGCCACGAGTATCCACAGTCCTACCCACCGAGCTTTCTAGAACACGGCTACGACACTACAGCATTGTCTCAGATGGATTGCGCCCGAATCTACCAAACGAAACGAGCTGGAAGTGAGTACAGCTCGTGATCGCTCCACCGCGCGTTCGAACAGTAGCTGCTTATGCTATAAAAAGAGCTCCGACATCAATCCTCACAGATACTCTGTCGATACCTTGTCGCCAGTTGCTGCCCATTCCTTCACCTTTCCCAGCAGACCAAGAAGTTGGCGTTCGTGGGGTCCTGGAGCGTTCTGATACGGGCTGAAATGCATTCATTCATCAACCAGCCCACCCAAGTTCTGGCGAGCTTTCATGGATGTTGACTGAGCGGCAGTTTCCCTACTATGAACGGGATCATTGCGCTCGGGATCACCAAGGTGTGGAAAGCTAGCCGAAGTCACAGTGCGCCACACGTTGTTCATATCATGGAGAGCGCCCGCATATCCATCCTTGCACAGAGCACTGCAGGAGAAATGTCGCTCTGCCGTGGGCTTGCTTACACGTCCATCTCATGTATATGATAATGATGGGCTGGCCCTAGTAACTGCGCCCGTGTGCACACTGCACTGCTCGCACTACATTCCTACTGCACGGAGAGTTTCGTTAGTATCGACGGGAGCGCGAAGGAACTCTTTCTACTGCGATGCTAAGAAGAACACTATAGACGCACCGCGGAAGTTTCTCAGCCTTTGGGAGGTCGTGTGCACTCCCGATTCGTCGCAGCGCCAGCTGCTGGACCCGTGGATTCTCTCGTGCCACATGCATTTCCTGAATTCAGCATCGGTGTCGCCAAGAGTGTGTCAACACCTTCGGAACTCAGCTTAGAACAAGCCAGGACCCTGAAGATCAAGCTGTGGGGGACAAGTCCAAGAAATCGCGACCGCGTCCAGTAAAGTTACTCAAAACGCGGCGTCTGGACAGCTCTGCAGATTTACCCAGGCCCGCTCGACAAGAAGTCTTCCTGGGTTGATTTTGCAGTACAACTATATAGCCGCGTTCGTTTCACAACATCTGTTTACCGAGGGTGGTCAGCAAAACGCGAGCTCTTTTCAGAGCGGGCGCAGAGCAGCTAGCCAGAATCTGCTTCCGCTAACGGCCTGTCGAAGCCGAGTCGCCCGTTGCGAAAATCCTCGGCCTCAACTAGTCGATCAGGTTCAGCTTCCTAGACTATAGAGAATCCAGACCGCAGAGATTAGCCGCCCGCTCGCCCGATCTTGCCTGAGGCTACTGGCACTGTGCCCGCTTTCTTTGTACCACGATGGTCGATCTTGTTTATTGATCCGAGACGCTTATAATTGGCGGTATTTCTTCGGCTCTCCAGTGCATTCGACATTCGACATTCATAGCAGGCATAGTGTCAGATCGATTACGCGGACGCTCGTCAGGGAAGATTCCATTGAGTGTCCTGCTCAATGGAGCCGAACCCCAGGCTCGAGTTGGCAGGCCCTACCCAGTGGACACTCATGGCAGCGAAGAATCTACACCAGTTAGCAGTGACAAAAGTTTAGCGACTATATTGCCTGGCCTGGATTCATATCAGACGGGCGGCAGTTCGTCACTGCAGACCACAAGCTATAGTCTCTTCATACGCGCAAGAGATACACGCACTGCTCGCTGCCGCCTATCACAGCACTTAATAGACCAGCACGGCAGCATGAACTGCACAGGCCCGAGACCGTCGCGTCTGTCGTATAGGGAAGAGGAGAAGTTCTTCGTTATATACGCTCGCATCGTTCGACAGGACAGTTGGCCCGAGATCGCATGCACATTCGAGAAGCTATTCGGAACAAGAACGAAGGGTGGTCTCACATCCATTTACTATCGCGTGCGACAGGAATGGGGCCTTACGAAAGTTCTAGAGCATTCGCCTGGATATTGTGCTGTGGATCGCAGAGAAGTGGAAAAGCGGGCGACAGATCTGTCATACGAGTTCCTATTGCGGATTGGATATTTGTCTTCTACGAGATGAGATGAAAAAACCTCGTCTATACGATTCAGCAGCAGCGCCGTTTTCTGGTCTGCTAATAAGAATGGCAAGTAACTTACAGCAGTACGGAGCATATGGGAAAGGCCAGCCTGGCGCTGACCGAAGATGTATCCCTAGGCGTTTCCACCATGCGGATAAGAAGACGTACAAGTAGAGCTTGATCGTTCAAAGCGCCGTGTCGTTCGACAGCTTCAGCCTGCTCTTCACTATACATCTGTCCAATCCTGCGCAGCCGGACTAACAACTGTTCCCTAACTTGCCTTTGTTCACAGGATGTAATTATTCGCTGGAGCGCGCGAATCTTTCTCTTCGTGTATGGATATTCTTCTGGACCCGGTCTTTGTTAATCCCGACGCGGACTAAAGGCGGCTCGCGAGGATGAATTATCATCTTTTCAATCCTAATGCTCTCCTTCTGGAGTTCGAACGAAGCTTGTGCCGTATCGCAAACAGTCTTGCCATCGTTATTAGACACGCTTATGTTAGCCCCAGCGGCGACCAGTATCTCTGCTAGGATTCCGCGGCCATAGTTAAGTGCTCTCAGTAAGGTAGTATTGCCATCACGGTCTCTAGATTCCAATTCGGCTTCGTGATCGATCAGAAGCTCAACTACATCCTTGTGACCTTCTTCTACGACAGCGAGTAATAATGGCTTGTCGTCAGGAACTCCCTTGATATTGGCAAGGTATGCGGCATCTGCTGCCTCGAGCAATAATTTATGTGCATTCTTAAAGAAGTTTGAAAAACAGAGGCTATAGAAGAGTACGGACAAATCGTCCCTTGTTCGATTAGTACTGACAGGATTCTCTCGGAGCGCCGACCCAAGATTCGTGGCATCTTCAGTGGCAGTTGGGCTTGCGATTCGTATTGCACGCCTTGCTCAATTCGTGCTTGTGTATCATGAACTATAAGACCTGAGAAAGTGTTCTCGATCCCCGTCTCATCTTCCTCGGCCGTTTGGGTCCCTAATGCGTTCGAGGCATCATCATCGGATTGCGGCTCCGTATCGTCACAAGACGCCCAATCCTCAGGATCGTACGTTTTCCCGCTAACGGTTCTCCATCTCTTCTTGCGATGCTCGAGCTCCCACCACATGCCCTCGGTCTCAGGATCTTCCTCGAATGGAAACAAAATTTGATGATCTCTGGGGAAGACGTGACGTCCGTCAGCATCTTTCTTAGGCATACAGTGAGGAGCTCTTGTATTGCGCATACTAGACTCGGGGTTTGTAAATCCGTGAGAGTGAATTCCTTTGGGACACGAATAGGGACATCTGATCCTCACGACGTTGGAGTCCCAGGTCAATGCGATTGCTTTTAGAGTGTTCATCTCAAATACAAAACGATACTTGAAAGCCTTCGCGTCAATCACAGACAAGAAAAGAGAAGTCAAAATGGAGAGTAGGCGACAATAATAGCTACCCCACAAAGTGTTCAGAGCACTGTAAGTGCATCACTGCCGTGTCGGATCGGAGGCGTGCTCTGCCGAGAAGCCCCGGAGACTTCCCAATGTCCATCCTTAGGATGTCCTCCGGAAGCGTGATGAGAAGAGAGAGCATACTGGGGTTGGAGCATCCCCCGACACTAACGAGCAGGAGCAATCTAGCTTGGGTGCTGCAGTATCAGGAAAAATACAAGGCGCCGGAGGAGATGTTCCGGCGGGCGCTGGAGGGCAGTGAGAAAGTGCTCGGGGCGGAGCATCCCAACACGCTGACGAGCGTATTTTGTCTCGCCTATCTCTTTCACCAGAAGCACGATTTTGCAGTTGTGAATAGCATCAGCAGCAGTGCATGACTCGAACCGCCGAAACCACTTGCCAAGACTGCATTTTGAAGTCGGGTAGCCGCTCCCGTTCTGGTCGTGCGATTATCTGGCCAGGCCGTTCTTCTCCGTCCAGTAGCCGGCTGATTCCTCCCGATGTACCACTTCCAATCGAGCTGTATAAGCTTGCGACTCTACGAGTAGCCCCCACTTTCCGCTATCAGTAGGCCCCGATAGCAGGCACACAGTCGATATGATACACAATGTCGTAGCAGCGTCGAGGCTAACACGGACTGCTTAGGCCACATGTGAGCAAATGCTAAAAAAGAATGAGGCTACGTCCGACAGATGCGAATGAGGCCGAGCAACCACAGCACCAATCTAGAGATGCAACGCATAGCTAGTAATCGACCGAGGTAGGCAAGGAATATATTGCAAGCGATACCTAAGGTGACATAGCTGCAGTAGTAGACTATAGAGAGGTAGAAGTGCGAAGTACCTTTTTCGCATTCCGCTACGTATGGGTTCCGTTAGGCAGGGACTGGGTTTAGAGACTTAGGAATAGCATGAATCGTACGATAGTCTATGCCGACAAGCCTGCGTATTTCTCTCCGGTAGCTCTATAGCATATCGTCGTACGTAGCGATCTCGAACCGCAGTTAGATCGCCGCTATTCTAAGCATTTAAGACATATTAAATATTCTCCCTTTTAACTAATACCTTAATAATGTTCGCCGCCGTAGTATAACTCCTAGTATAGCACGACCGAGTAAAGACAAACTCGGAGAATTAGGCCCTCTGCCTTCGCTAGTATTATAGATAGGTACGTAGTACGAGCGTTATATACTCCGAATAATACTAATTATAAAAGTAGGCTAGAGATAGGTCCTCTACGTTACTCTAGTCTATAGGACTCCGGGACTTAAAACTATAATAGTATGTCCTTAACTAGGTCTATAGTACGAAAATAAATATTATTACTTTTCTATCTCGTTATACTTCCTTACTTTACTCTCTTATTTATAAATTATATACCTTGCGTAGGAGACTAAATAAGGGTTTCTTATTAGTATATCTACTCGTACGAGTATCTATATACGCTAGAGATAGAGCAAAGGGCCTCCTATCGACCTCTAGCTTTTAATTATCTATCCTCTATTACTTAGGTTCTTAACTCCGGACTCGACGTAAGCTACGACCGATAATAACCTTACTAGCGCTACTACGATAGCGAGGTCGTATCGAGAATATTTCGTACTACTACCTACTTATTTATCTCCTATCTTACTCTATAGTATCTAGCGTTAATAGCGTACGATATATACTAAGAGTTTATAAGTAGTAGTAGTATTACGGGTTAGCGTACTCTTCGGGTTATAACTATAAGTCGTAGTCCTATAGAATGTCCCGAGTATTATATCTCGTAGTAGTCTACCGCGTATTAATATATATAATAGCGTATCTATCTAACTATAAGATACTAGGAGCGAGCCGGCTATAGAGCTATATATATAACTCGTTAGTCTACTTCTATAAACTATAGTCTATATTCGGCCTAGAGAAAGTCGGTAAACTATATAACGAGCTAGGAAGAAAGACTAACTTACTAGCGGATAGAGGTAATATTAAAAAAAATATACGTAATCGAGTATAGTATTATAAGCTATATAATACGGTTTATAGTTCGAAGAGTATTAGTAGTTAGACTACGCGAGAGCGAGTCTCCTTAAAGTAATAGCTATATAGTTTTCTTCCTTAGCGAGAAAACCGCCTCTATATATAGGACGAGCGTAATAAGTTTAATAATAAAAATCTAGATATAATAATACTATAAGCGCTCGGCCTCGAAGTTCGCCGAAACCTAATACTACGAACCGGTAGCTATAAAGTATTAATCCCGTCCGTAGATCTAAATCTCGATCGTAGTAAGGAAGTATAACTAGATCTAGACCTCTAAGATTATTATTATAAACGTTCTATCGCTTAGCCGCTTGCCGTATACGGTAGTAACGTATATATATATAGCGATAAAAAGTATAAAGAAGCTACTACTTATGTCCCTAGAATATAGTAACTATGCTTATATAAAGCAAAGTATCGAAGATACTAAGATACTACCGATACGGTACTAGTACTAGCTTATTAAAAACGTACTACTCTACTAAAGATCTACTAGTAAGAGATTAAGAGCGAGGACGATATATCGATTATAGCCTAGCTAGGTCTAGTAATAGCCTCTCTATCTAACTATATAGAGGAGAATAACTATTATTACGTATATATAGCTACTAACTAAGAGTATTACGAGACAAGCGATTGCGATAATACTATCTCGGTAACTAGAGGTAAGTATCGGCCTACTATAAGGTAGCGGGAAGTATTCTTATCTATTAATAGTAATTAGTAGGTTATAAGAAGCGATGTCTATATTACTATAGGTTCTATTAAGAAAGGTTATAGATATATTAATCTATATATCGCTATAGTAGAGCTAAGTTTTGTTAATTATATAAGGACTAGCGCAAAACGGGGAAGATTACGCGTTATCGTAATATCTTATAAAACTAGGAAGTACTATAGTAAGAATAGATCTAAGTTTGTTTTAGTTAGGCTATAACCTTTTGCTAGAGTTACCTCTAGGATAAAAGGCTTAATCGGGTAAAGCTTCGGTCTAGTTTTAGTCGTAGTTATAGGTAAGACGTATTAAGAAGCCGTCCGTATAGTACCTAAAATGTTTACTAGTTCGGTAGAATAACTAGAATATATTACCTACTCTTAAGGTATACGTAAACTAGATCGGTCTCGGCTGCTCTTCCTACTTTCTAGAGAATATAGCTTCTACTATTACTCCTTAGGGCGTATATCGTATATAAAGCTAACTATACGTCTAGCTACTCTCTAGGAAAAGAGACGGCTAGTAGAGAGAGACTTTAGCGTTTTCGTATATAATTAGATAACTTATAAATATTAGTTTAAAATAGACTATATATAACGACTATAACTTATAGGTATACTTATAGTTAATTATACGTATTTATATTAGCCTTACGAAGCGCGTATAGAGGTTTAGGAGTATCGAGTAATCTAGAATAAGTTATAGGTTATATCGAGAGTCGACTACTAACTTACTACTACCCGCTATATTATCTAATCGGACCGCTTAAACTAATAACTATACTACTACTATTAAGCTCTATTATTATATAGAGGCTCTCTTAACGACGTTTAGACTTAATTCTCTAAGTACCGGCTTCTTTTATCCCGTATCTAGCGTATACTATTATAGTTATTCTATTTATAATTCGTAGATCTAGAAGCGCGTCTAGATATTCTAGACGCTAATATAGACTTAGAGATATTCTACGTAGTCGCTTTTACCCGAATCGAGGTTTGCTTACCTACTTTTAGGCCTATAATAGTATTCTATAATACCGATTCGGGAGGCGCGTATATCTTACGTATTATCGCGGTTATTATAAAGAAAAAACTAGATAGAAGTAAAGAGAGCAGATATTAGTATTCTAAGAACCGAGTATCCTAGTAAGCTAGGATTTACGTTAGGTTAGACCGGATAAGGCCTATAGTAGTAAGTAGGTAAGAGATTAGATCGGAGTCGATAAGGACTAGTATAAAACGCTCCGAGTTAAATCGAGACGACTATATTCGGAGATAGTATATATTCGCTATATATTACTTCTAATCTTATCCTACGTAGAGCTATATTTAAGATAGCATAATAATATCCTTCTATAGCTAAGTAACTTTAGGTATAATCTAGTCTATACGTTATCCGAAGCTATAAGAATACGCCCGAGACTCGTAATTATAGAGGATCGACTATAGTATTCTCTAATTCGTTTAACTAGCTCGGAGAAGATAGGAAAGACTAGACATTTTTACTATCTTTACTAGTTTAGACGCGCCTAGACTCTAGGACTAGAGTCGACGGAGATCTTACTACTCCGCCGGCGCTTATAAAGAGAGCTATCGAGTCTATATATAGTTAGATTAAATATTACTAACTAACCTCTATATACGTTATACTTTATTAGAATATTATTAATAAGCGTAATTTGCTTTATTAGAAGAATACTATTACTAGTACTTTATCTTATTAGTAGAGTACTAATAGCTATACTTTCCTTTAGTAGACCTTATCGAGCCTTATATTTAAAAACGAATACTACTAGTTAGGCCTTATTTTATATAGATACTATCTTAATTTATATTTAATAACGTTCTCGGCGGAGAACAAATATAGATAGTCGTAAGAGAACGATTATCGATAATAAAAGCCGCTAATTATATTAGTATCGGCTATTTCTTAAGGCCGAGCTTATAGTACTCGAATTAGCTTTATCTACGATTAAACTAAGCCTTATTACTATAGCTATAAATAAAGGGAAAGGTCTATACCTACGTCTAGAAAGTACTCCGAGTCGATATAATTCGTAGAATTTACCTATATTAACTTCTTAGATACGAAAGAATCGCAGATTTTATATAGTATATAGTACGAAAATATAGCGAGCTCTACGAAGGCTTCTATAGAAATATATAGTCGACTCGTACTACTTAAGATCCGTAACGCTTACTCGTTAGTATTATTATAGTTGCCGAGTTCTATAGACTCTTAGCTATCTATAGTAATAAAGAAGGAGACGTACTATTCGCGTTATTAAGGAATAACGACTTCTACGCTCTTAGAAGTAAATATATATAACGAATTTAGTTCGGCTTTATATACTCGAGTAGTAAGCGTATTAGATCGTAACGTTAGTAGCCTTAAGAGCTCTACTATTCCTATCCTATATCTAATATCTACGTAATAGTATTATAAACTCTCGTAGTATAGTTTTAGAGATATATTAGATTAGTAAGATTTATATTAAGGTATATTAAGTAAGAATAGCTAATAGGCTAATCCTCTATATAATACTATAGATACTTTCGATAAAAATGTCTCTTAAGCCTATTACGATTACGGACTATTTTTATATATTCGTTAACGTAGAGGTCTGCCTTACCGATATAGAATATATATTATATTAGAGTATATATAATAGGAAACGGATCTTACGGCGCTTTAGTTTCGCCTTTAAGTTCGATACTCGTATTACTATCGTACTTACTAATACGCGCTGCCTTTATATAATACGTCGTCCGTATAGTAGGTTGCTAGTATCTACTTAGCGCTAACGCTATATTTATAGCGTCTACCTATAGTCTACGTTCTTCGATAGAGTCTAATATCGTAATTATAAAGAAGACCTAGTAACGCGATTCCGCTCTTCGTTTAAAACGATAATCTAGCTAAACTTTCGGTAGCGTCTCTTTATCGCGCTTAATAGTAAAGCCCTCGAGCTAGCCTATAATATCTATAACGGATCGATCCTCGCGATAACTTTATAAGACCGCGGCTATTATAATCTTATATATAGCTTTCCTTTTGTTCTACTACTATCGGTCTACTCTCTAGTACGCCTTATAGAGCTCTATACCTCGTACTTTAAAAGATGTCCTATACTTAGTATAGATCTTCTAGACCGAGCTCTTTTGTATCCTGCTTAGCAGCTTTACTTCCGGATAACGTGTAATCTATGCTACTTAGGTCTCTATTAATGCGCGGGGTCGGTGCGGATCGATAGTACGACGTATGCCGCTCGCAGCTCTTATTACCTCGGTCTTAGGCACGAGGCCCCGGTGCATCGTATGCGTGCCTAGCGTGTCCTAACGAGACGGGTAATTGTGCTGAAATACTGCGTCGCCGGCGTGATTATACACAATCTGCCGTCTCATGCGATTATGTATTGCAGTAGGCGTGTGCGCGACTTAGGCGTAGTTGCGAGGTAGCCGGACTCGACTGGCTAAGGTCGCATCGGAGGGCCTAGGCAGCTCCGCGATGTCTGTATAGCGTATACAGATCGATAGTAGGAGGATGCAGATTAAGGGCCAGTCGCGATTAAGCTACAGCAGGTAACCTGCTCGTCGTTGTTATATACGCAGCACGAGTAAAGAGGCCGATGCAGGGCGCAAGCGGCGGTAATAATGTTGTTCCCGGACTGCCGGCGTCGGCTCTGTTACGCTTCGAGATGCAAGCTATAACCTCTTCCCCTCCGCTATCTCTTACTTCGCCGACGCGCAGCTTTCGCTAATACCTACGCGTCTAGAAGCCGGAGCTTATATAGAATCGCAGCGACTCGTATACTAAATCTCCGCGCCCTTTAGTACGGCGTCGCTAAATAAATCTAGCTAATAGTAGTATAAGTAGCTACGAGTGCTAATAGTCTAGTAATTTACTACTACGCTAGTTAAAATACGGCCGCGACACTTAAGTAATATCTTAGATAGAATATTAATCGATCGAGAAGACTAGAATTTGTTTCTCTATAGTTAAATAACTACTAGTTATATACTAAGTCTTCTTCGATTATCCTTCCTCTATACTACTAGAACCTATTAGACGAGATAAGCTAGGGTAAGTACGGCTTAGTATAATACCTACTACTCTTATATTTCTAGGTCTAATATATAAACTATAGTTCTTAAGTAAACGCTATTACGACTCTATATTAAATACTAGTAATAAGTAGAAGATTAACTAGAACGTTAGCTACGCCTATTCTTCGTTATACTAGCGCGTAAAAGCATAACTAAGCGACTAGTTGCTTCGCTGCCTACTTCTCGCGCGTAGCCTACTACTTCGATTCTATAATTTCGGTCTAACGAAGATACTTAGGAAGATCTATAATTACTATATAAAATTTTAGTATCTAAGATACGTATATTCCTTTAGAGGAAAGGAATATAAGGTACTAGCTTATTATAGTACTCTACTAGTCTAGGGAACCCTTTATCGAGAGATTAGATATCTCTTTATTAAATAACTTTTATAGTCTCGAATACTCTCTATATTGCTCTACTATTTTCGCTCTAGGCCTACTATAAATCTTATAAGTCGTAGTTTAGGACTATATAGGTCGTTTAATTATATTATCTCGTATACGGAGGTAACTACGTAACTGCTTACTAAATAAATTACTACTCGCTATATCTAGGCGCTAGGCAATACTCTTATAGCGTAGCTACGAGTACTTAGTTAATCCCTATATAGTTATAACCTATAATATATAGCTATACCTAGATATAGGGGTCTAGCGAATAGTTAATAGTTAATAGGACCTACTTTGCTATATTAAAGTATAACTAGCAAGCGGTTCTATTACCTCTGCTTATAGTCCGCTTTTATAGCAAAGTATATATCCGTAATATATACGTTTTCCTGCGTATTTTATACTCTAAAATAATATTCTATAGATATAGGTATATACTTAATTCGAGTAGAATATAATTCGATTCTCTTTAAGAACCTATTAGTATACGAT